CGGGGATTTGCAGGTACCCATGTGTGCAGGCTGCCGCTGGAAGCTCCTCAGGCCGGGGCCACCCCCCACCCTGTCAGAATAATCACCCCCTTTCAGAAGAATCACCCCCTTCGGACCCAATGATTCTCTTTGGAGAAGTGTCTTTTTAGCTCTTCTGCCCATTTTTTGATGGGGCTGTTTACTTTATTTTTGTTGAATTTCATTAGTCTCCATATATTTTTGTGATCAGTCCTTTATCACTACTTTTGTGTGAGAAATGTTTTCCCAATTAGTGGGCTGTCTGTTTTTAGTAATGTCTCTTGCTGTACAGAAGCTCTTTAACTTGATGTAGTCCCATCTATTTATGGACCCAATGATTCTCAACGGAAGTCGACATTTCACGCCCTCCAGCAGCCCGACCTGTGTCTGGGCATCAGCTTCTGGGGTCCTCGCCTGGGCTCCTGAGCATGGGGGGCTCGTGTAGGGGGGAGCGGAGGCCACCCCTTTTCAACTCTAGGGCCAGTATTGCCACCCGTGTTCGCCCGTCTCTCTCCAGCCTTTGTTCTTCGAGCTCTCAGTACCTGCATGCTCAGCTCCTGGCACTGCCCTCCCGCCGAGGATGCCCTGGCGAAGGAACTGAGTTAAGAAGGTGGCACTGAGAGCTGCGGAGATAAGTAAATGTTAAGTACAAAATACAAAGTAGTGGAGGGCTAATGTGGGCTGTCTACCTGGGCGGAGGCCTCACTGGCTGCCGTATGAGGCGGCACACAGGAGACAGAACTGGGAGATGTGGCTTTGGGGGGAAGGGGGTGGGGTCAGGGTCTCAGAGACCAGGAGGCTCCTGGGGCCCTCATGGGAGGTGCTGGGCTTGCCCTGCCAGGGCGGGCAGGAAGAGGGGGAGAGGAGAGAGAGGCGCAGTGTGTGGCTTCAGCCCTGGGGACCCTGAGTGCCGAGGCCTGGAATATGAGCTAAGCTGGTTCACGGTTTTGGGGTCTCCCCCCTACCCCCATCTCCTGCAGTGGGAGCGCCCTTCCTAAGACGTGCTGGGCTCACGGAGGCCAGCAGAGGGCAGTGGTTGCCAGGAAGTGCCCGCTGCCAGGAGCTGACATTGCCCCAATGGAATTGGGGGTGTGGTGGTGGTGAAGGGGGAGTCTGCTTTCCGTGGGAAAGGAAGGTTGGGCTGCGCTCTCGCCCTCTTTCATCTTCAACTTTCCCCAAACGGGTTCCTCAGCCCTGGTCCCCACCTGCGGGGTGGGGTGGTGGAGGTTGGACCCTGGAGTGGTGGAGGTTGCCCCCCTCCCGCCCCCATGTGGATGCCTCTAGCCCTCCTGACTAGACACCTAGGTCGGAAGGGGCAGGCAGAGCTGGTGGGGGGGAGGGGGCAGACTCTGCCAGTCACTGTGCTGCTGGACTGCAGTGACTGAGCACTGCCTGTGGGCAGGCGCTGCGCGGAATTCTTGGCTCATGCATCTTCCCTTTGAAGCTTCGCCACAGATCTGCGGCAGGGAAGCTTGATCCCTGGAGACCACCCAGCTTGTGCCAGGATTTGCCTGGCAGACCAGAGCAGCAGCTATCAGGACTGCTGCTTTTGTGGCTGGGCACACCCAGGGGATGGAGTGAGGGGGGAGCAGCCCGACTTCCTGGCGCTGCCTTAGAGGGGTCTGCAGGACCCCGTCTCTGCCTCCTTTACCTCAGTCAGAGACACAGCTCCAGGCAGCTTGTGCTGGGGCCCGGGACGGCACAAGTCTGATCTCAGCGGAGGGGACGTGGGCGTGACGGGAGACTGGAGCTGGGTCCCTGCCAGAAGCCAGAGGCCCCTGGAGGCGAGGACCCCATTCATTAATCAGCTCCATACTTGGTAAGGCGGATGCTTGGCATCCTGTTTGGCATCTTAGAGGTGTATTGGAGTAGCGATAGCTGGTCGTGTAGCTGGATAAGCCATAGTCCCCGCGCACAGAGCCTAAGTCCTGATGGCGGCTTGGGGGGTCCCTGTGTGGGTCTCCTCCCTCTCAGCTCAGGCTCCTGTCTTAGACTGGCTCGTCCAGGCTGGAAGCTGAGCAGATCTGCTCCCCTCCCCCACCATCTCCATCCCTTCCGCCAGCCCCAGTCCCTCCCTTGGAGAGCCTTTGAGGCCCCTTCTCTGCTCTGCAGGTCACCCGAGCTGAGGTCTCTCTGTGGCCCCGCCCCTCAGCCCTGCAGCTTCAGCAACACAGGGACTTTCTGACCAGGAACAGGAGAAGAGGGGTACAGGCCACCCCAGAACACAGGCGCCACCTTGGGCTGTGGCCCCAGGGTCCCCTAGAAGGTTTCTTCAGACACCAAGGAACTGCCGGGTTGCTGGGCCTGTGCAGGAAGAGCCCTTCTTCCCTTCTGAGCTGGGGGGTGGGGTGGGGGGGCCATCTGGGCGCCCCCACTGGGGAGCAGCTTGGCCCCATTGCCCTGCTTTTGAAAGGGGGAACTGCGGCCTCTCCTTCACCAGCACCTGGTCTGTCATTTTCTTTTAAAGAGTTATTTATTTTTACAGAACTGGGGTACAGGCAGAGGTGCAGGGGTGGTGAGAGGGTTCACCAGAGACAGCTTGGGGAGCAGGACAGGCAGATGCATGCAGTACACTGCTGAGGGGAGCAGCGGGGAGACAGGAGAGGTCTGCTGCGCCATGGGGGTCAGATCCCTGGCTGGGATCCCGCTGAGGTGGCTGTGGCTGGCTTCTAGTGCTATACTTTAAGGGGTCAGGTCGCCAGGGAGGGCCCCGGTTTGCCATTTTAACCCATTCTGTGGCCGGCAGCCTGCAGTGAAAATGGCTCCAGGGAGCCAGATGTTGGGGGACCAGAGGGACTCAGAGGTTGGTCCCTCTGGGCCCCACCTAGCGCCCCTGTCCTGCTCAGCTTACAGCTGGTTCCGAGGACCAGAGAGCAAGGAGAAGGGAAGCCACATGGGTGGCAGGCTCTTTTTGCTGTGTGCAGCATAGGGGTGGTGCTGTGGGCCAGCTGCTCTCCAATGGCCTCAGGGGGCAGGAGGGGGCGGTGGACGGAGGTGGGGTCTGTTCACTGCAGAGAGTCAGACTTGAGCCTTCCTGAGAGCTGTTCAGAGAAGCCAGGGCTTGGGCAGGGAGATCATTCTATTCATTCATTCATTCACTCATTTTTTCTGCAGGTGCTAACCCTACGCCTTCAGTAGCCAGACAGAGTTGGTGCCGGGGTTACCAAGATCATGGGACCTGTAGGCTGGGAGCCCTCGGGTGGGGTGCGCATCCATCACCCCTTCATTCATTCACCTGACTTTGACTGAGCAGCTGCAGCTGGGCTCAGTGACCCCTCCTCCCCCGGAAGTTAGAGTCGCCTGCGATTAAAGGCACAAACCCAGGACACCAAATCTCAGCGACATCAGGAAAATGTCTGATGAATTTCATTCTTCCGTGAGCATCCAGAGTGGGGCCAGACGCTGACCAAATGTGTGTTCAGTAAAGGTTGTGGGATGACAGAGCCCTGCGTGGAGACATTCCAAAAACCTATGAGTCAAAGAATAAAATCGCTCTAAGTAAGAGCTAATAAAACACATTGATGAATAGATATACAGAAAAGTATGACAATAGTAGACAACAGTCAAAGTGGTACTTAAAGAATTGTGGTCTTCTGTCTTACATGGAAAAAGAAGTTGGAAGCAAATAAAAAAAAATAAATTCAAAGTACATAGAAGGAAGGAAAGGACAGGCCACAGCTTTTGCCTGTGCAGTTAAAGCCTTCAAAAGCCCCTTATTTACTTGTTTGTTTAACTTCTCCTCGGTTGTGTGAGGGTGCCCACCCTTCAGAGGTCTCAGGAGAATGGATACCCCGCGTGTCCGGGCCCTGTCCCAGCGGCCCAAGGCCCAGTTCCTGTCTGGGGCCTCCTGGATCCATATCTGATTTAGTAACAATAACGGCATCACCGTTCATCCTTCACACTTGTTGGCTGTTAGAGTCCAGAAGTAAGAGAGGTGTCAGTTCCGATAGGAAGGCGTCGGGGGCTCTCCCGTCAGACCCCCAGAGCCCTGTGAGGTCCGGGGGGAAGGTGATGCTGTTTTACAGATGAGGAAACTGAGGCTCATCGTCCCCGGTCTCGTTGCAAATGGGTGAGCCAGGTAGGCATCTTCCAACATGGCCGCTGTTTTTCTGGAGACACCTGCCTTCCACTGTCCGGTTTCCTCCACAAGCCCGCCCTTGGCTGACCACCCGTGGGCCCCTGCTGCACGTGGCTGGGAAGCCCAGGCTGGCTGTGTTGAGCAGACAGCTCATCAGCTTGTGTGCGCATCTTGTGGAGGAGGGTGGGGAACAAGCTTAGGCTGTATAATGCTGGGCTGGGCTTGGAGAAGGCCCCGATTCTTGTCTGTTGATCTAGAATTTGATATGGCAGGATTAAGCCCGCACCCATCAGAATATATTCTGGGCTGGGCCAGGCTCACAGTCAGGCTTGAGAAGGATCCCCGCCCCCCACCCCCTGGGAAGCCCCTGCCTGCTGGCTGAGGTGATTCGTGTGGTGCCTGCACGTGTCAGGAGGTGCCTCGAACACGTGTCCACACTGCGCCGTCTCCTGGGGCGCGGGCAGGAGACCTGTGTCTAAGTTGCATTGGTCTGAAGGTTTCCCTGGCCCCTTGCCCATACTGGAGAATTCCTGAAGACCTGTGGTCAGCCTGATTGACCAGTGATTGACCAATCTTGAGAGAGGAGATGAAAACACACACAGCTGGGGACTCCCTCGTGGCTTAGGGGTAAGTCTCTGCGCTATCAAGCTGTCCGCAGTCACTGCAGCATGAGTTCGAGCCCCGGCCAGGGAGTGACCCACAGGGCACAGGAGACCTCTCCTGTCTGCCGGCTGCTCCCCTCGGCGGTGTATCTCAGCAGATCTGCCTCTTCCGCTCCCCGCTTTGTCTCTGGGGAATCTGCTCACCCCTCAACCCTGCACTCTGGCCTGGACCCCAGCTCTTGTATGCATAAATAGACCTTAAAAAAACAAAACAACACACACACACAGAGCTTTGTCCGTGGATAAATCTCAGCACTTTATTCATCCCTTTGTAGTGCTCGGGAGCATTGCCCCAAGGTAGTCAGCAGAGGGGTGGGGTGGCTGGGAGATGCGTTATCCACCAGAGTATCATATTTAGCACTGATCATGCAGAAACAGGAAGGGAAGCAATAAGTTAAAGCCACATAAGTTATGAAAAAATAATACATATATATACTTTATATATCTTGTATCCCCACTGAGGATTTGCTCCCTTGGAAACCAATAAATAGCTGGAGAAAAAGCAGCAATCAGCACCCTTTGGGGACTTCAGAGATGAGTATATGTCTGAGCTCCCCCCAGTCTGAGAGACTCAGTAACCCTTCAGCACCCCGACAGGCCTGGAGGATCTGGGGACGGGGCGGGAAGGGGGGGCGCCTCGGCCTTGTGGCACCATGTCCTGGAGAAGGAGATGAACTCGAGCAAAGAAACAGTAGAGGCTGGAAGAGGAGGGGAGACGGAGGGCGGGTGGGGAAAGAGGAGGGGAGAAGGGGGCTCGCTGAGGGGAGGCTGGAGCTGCTGACCCAAAGCGAGAGCCAAGAGGTGGAAAGGGGGCGCCCTGCTCAGCTCCAATCTCCTTTGTTGGCTGAACCCTTCAAAGGTTGTCTTTGGGGCTCCCCAGCATGTCCTCGGGGCTCAGAAGCTCCCAGACCTGCTTGGACTATGCCTTCTTCATGGCCCCACTGGGGGCGCGGGAGTGGGGGTGCAGGGGGGAGGGGAAAGAAAAGTGGGAGCTCTGAGCTGGCAGGTGTGGGGCGTTCCTGAGCTCCTCAGTGAATGCAAAGTCTGTTTGGCCAGATGGGGACCCTCAGTGGGGTCATGGGAAATGGGTTGGGGTCTCAGGAGGGAGTGGTAGGGGTCCCCAGGATCTGGTGCACCAAATGCAGTTGCAGGCTGGGAACTACTGGGGTGGGGGCCGAGAGCTCAGATCCCCGGCAGTGCAGCAGACCCCCGGACGCCAGGGAGCACGGGAGGGCCGAGTCCTTGTGTCGGGTCCAGGCCGCCAGCCGGCTTCCCTCTCGGGAGTTCATCAAGGCGCGGGCGGCTTCTGGAGGAGGTGGCGTGTTCTATTCTGACAGTGCCCTGCTGGCAGGGACCCACAGGAACGGGGCCGGGACAGAGGCGTGGAGCTGATGTCAGAGCCCCCGAGGGCTCAGGTCCCAGACACCGAGTGCTGCCTCTCACTCCCTAATACTGTCGGGTCTCTGGGGCGCCTGGCGATGCAGGAAAGCCGGGGTCCACAGCACCCAGCCTCCCCAGTAGCTCCAGATGTGGGGAGGGTGCCCACACCGTCCTCCTCACCTCCTGGGCCTGGCTGGCTGACCTCAGCCCGAGGCAGCCGCAAGGCTAGAGATGAAGGCGGAAGGTGAGGGTGGGGCCGAGGGGCGAAGGGATTTGGGCAGAGGCCTGGATGGGGGCAGGAGCCTCGGAGGAGCCAGGGGGCAGAAGCAACCTGCCCCCATTCTGGTTTCCCTGGTCAGGGAGCCCCCCACCCCCAGGCTGCAGTCTCGGCTCTGACGCGGAGCGAAGCAACTCTCCCCCCGTCCCAACCCACATCCAGGAAAGCAGCTGCTAGAACCCTCCTCTTCTTAGCTTAGGATCAAGCTTGCCCCCGTCCCAGGCCAAAGGCGTCAGGAGCTTTCTTGAGTCCAGCTCAGTCCCCCTGCTGCAGGCTCCTGGCGTCTAGCCGCCTTATTCTGAGGCCTCAGACTCCTGAAGGAGGAACTTCTCGGACATCTCGGTGATTTTGATAACGGGGCCTTTTTTGTTCTTCTTCTTCTTCCGGGAGGGGGCTCTCAAGAGGCCGGGTGTGGAGGCAGCTACAGGGAACATACAGGGTGGGGGAGGGAAGGGACTGCAGGTTGGGGGTCTCTTAAAGTGATGCCATCAGGGCCGTGACCCCGCGTCAGTCCCCTCCCCCACCGTGGGTTCTCAGGACACAGCACACTCACCAGGTCTCCCTCCGCACTGTGTGGCGCTGACCACCGTGGCTGTTGGCATGTCCATCCTGGCGGGGACGGTGGGTGAGAGATGGGGCCTGGATTAGTGCTCTGAGGACTGGCAGACGGAGGGCCCAGCCCGCCAGCCAGCTTGTCCTCTCGGGGCCTCCCACCCCTCTCCTGTGTTGATGGGTGCCAGGCACCAAGCCCTCGTTTGCAACGGGCCTTGCACGCAGACCTCGGCGCCATGTTTACAGCCAGTGTTTTTCCAGATGGGAGATGGACAGTGGACAGTCAAGTCCTGGTTTGTAAGTGGTCAGGTCTGGGCATAAACCCAGCCCTGCCAGGCATGCAGTGCCATGCTAGAGGGGCGGCTGGCTCGGGGTGGGGCTGGTCCTCCAGGGGTCTCTGCAAGCCCCTCCCACCGGCCCTGCCCCTCCCACCGGCCCTGCCCCTCCCACCGGCTCTCCTCGCCCTCCACTAGCTTGCTGTAGGTGGCGATCTCGATGTCCAGGGCCAGCTTGGTGTTCATGAGCTCCTGGTAGTCGCGCAGCTGCCGCGCCATGTCCTTCTTGGCCTGCTGCAGGGCGTCCTCCAGCTGTGCCAGCTTGGCCTTGGCGTCCTGGAAGGCCAGCTCGCCCTGCTCCTCCGCGGCCTTGATGTTCTCCTCCAGTTTCAGGCACTGCAGCCGGGAGCATGGGGGGACGGGGTCAGTGGGCGGGACGGGGTCAGTGGGCGGGACGGGGTCAGTGGGCGGGACGGGTCTGTGGGCTGGACGGGCCAGGGCCCATCTGTCCTTGTTGGGGGATGTAGGGGAGCAGTGCATTTCTGGGGGTAGTGATGGGTGGCATTGCAGCCGGAGGGAGTCCAGTGAGATTCCAGGAGGCACTTCCCAGGGGCCACCCAAGAGGCAGCACCACGAGCCCCGGGGAGCCGGGCCCAGGTGTCCGCTCAGGGCAGCATAGCTCTGGAGGCCCGTCCTGCCAGAGGTGGTACAGGCGGGAAACTGAGGACGCGGGTGCTCGGTCGGGTGCTGCGTGTGCTCCTGGGGGCTGTGCATGCGGGCACGTCCCTGCCCTCCGCCCTGCCCGCCCCTGCTGGGTCCTCCAGATCCTCACGTGGCTCTTGATGGACAGGATCTGGGACCGCAGCTTCTGGATGCGCACGTTGAGGTCGGCGATCTCACTGCGGCTGCTCTGGAGGCTGCTGCCGTACTCAGCGGAGCGGGCCGCCCGCTCCTCCAGCTGGAGGGCGAGAGGGTGGTCGGCCGCGCCTCCCCCAAGCCCCTCCGGCGCGGCTCTCCGC